GCCAAGATGTCGAGATCCTGAAATCTGAAGATTCAGACTCATTAGCTTTCATGAACCTTGCAGAGCCTTGAGAATGTCCACACAGTCAAATGTACAGTAAGAGACAGAAACTGTGCGTCCTGTCCTTAGTTATTATCTGACTGTGAAATAGAATAAATACAACGTCATAGAACTTCCTCAGTATTGCAAAACATTTCATTCCTGGCTAAAGGTGGAAAGATGGAGGTTTTTGCTGAATAATCAAAAGTTTTCCATTATTTTCCTCCTAGATGTACTTTCTAGCTGCACTTCTGACAGCATTTAAAACTTCACGTGGAGTTAATATGACAGCTGGATGGATTCACACAGCGCAGAAGCTAGAAAGAGCAAGAAACTATAGAGTGCCACAATGAGGGGGGGGGGGGGACAGAAACTGAAAGGGAGGAGAGAAAGATAACGAGAAGAGGAAATACCAGATAAACAGCAGACCAAACTTGTTATTTTAATGGGGATGATGAGGATGATGGCCACCACCTGTCCTCTCAATGGCAAGACTGGGAAAGAAATTCAAACCTGCAGTAACATACTTTTGATCCACTTGGTTTTCCGTTAACGTGATTTCAATTGAGCTTGTTCTTGTAACCCGTCACAGCATTTTTGGCTTTTGTTATTTATCATCCTGCACATCAGATTACACACTCATTTCGAACTGTAGGTCAATGGTGTCATCCAAGAACCTTCGATTCGGTGCTTTCTGTCATCGTACTGCAGTAGACGAAGGATTTGAGCGAGAACAGGGATTATATCGTCCAGTAGTGAGTGCATGTGTATGTGTGTGTGTGTGTGTGTGTGTGTGTGTGTGTGAGATGATGAGGAATCAGAATTATAATGCTAAAAGGTTATTTGTCCTCACCTCACTCAACTCAAGAGGACAAGCAGCTTACAGAGCTGTCCGCTGCTTCTGATTGGTCCGCGCCAGCTCAGACTGCACTGTCACAGCAAACAAGAAGACCTGGTTTTGAACCCGAGCATCGACAACAGATACACACAGAAACCTTTCAAGAGTTTTAAGGAAAACACGTTGTATTCATGTAAAAAAAATCCAAAAGGATTTCAACAGTGATTGGATTTTCTTTCAACAATGACAGTGTTTTTAGACATTGGAGAGAAAGGTGAATGTGAGAGTGGATTACATGGCCAATGGTCCTGTGCTAATCTTTGCATTTATTGCATTCATCCTCGCATGAACATATATATTTATACTGTTGCATGGGGACCAATTAGTGCACTGTTTCAATACTACTGAATGTCTTATAGACCAGATACAGCTACAACTTGAGGATTTTGTATTCATTAGTATCGGTATATTATATTGAATGCTTCTCTACAGTATGAATCAGTTCTGTATGTTTACATTTATTCATTTTGATTTTATCCAAAGCGGCATACAGATTAGGGGCAATTCAAGCCACATCAGTGACAGAGTTGTCATCAAGCGACACAAGGCTGTTTTCCAAGCTTCCACATTTTGGATTAAGTGATTTTCTTTTCCCGGGTAAGATAAATTGTATGAGCATATCTAGCGCTCAATGTAAAAACCGACATAAAGTAACTGCAGCCGATAAATGTAGTAAGTGTGAATACTGAGAGAAGAAGAGGAGGAGGAGTGAGAGAGGAGAGGAAATAAGCATGTTGGAAAGACATGCGGGTCAGTACAGTCCACTGTACTGTACTGCCATGTTGTGGTCCATATGCACAGGGGGGTACAGCATAAATGCAGCTGCTCCCGGAGGATGACATCATATTGCAGGGTCTTATTAAAGGCCAGCCTATAAAAAACACTCCCATCCACCATTTCCATCTCTCCTCCTCTCCCTCACTACTTCCACTCCTCCCCCCTTCACTCTCTCCATCTGTCTTCACTCATCTATTTCTTTCTGAGTTCTTCTTCTGTTCTTCCTTCCTCAGCTACATAATCCATTCCCTCCCTCCCTTTACATCTCCAGTCCTCCCTCCTTCCATACATCCTTGTCTCCTTCCTGCCATGCATCCTCGTTCTCTACAGCACTCATGGCCACCGGCTGCAGGTGTAAAAGCATTTTAATGTTGTAATGAATGTAATCACAGATGTGACTATAATCCATAACAAAAAACAGACGTGTCATTTATTAGAGCTCCAATACAAGTCAAGTAAACTGAAACCAGCTCTTGTGCTTTCAGTTGATGTGTTGTGTAATGCCGGTACAACAGGAAAAGCATGCTGCCCAGACGTACTGCTTTTAACTGACGCGTAACTGAGAACCAAAACAAAAATAAAAGAAATCAAAGTTGATGCAACCTCTAAATCTTAGGTATTGTACATCTCTTTGTTGCTCCTTTCGGCCTCCCTCAGCCTTAAACAGTATCACCATGAGGGGGGGGGGGCACTCTGGTACAACAGCTGGAGAAATTCTGTCTGGCCCTAAAATGATCAATAATTGATAATGACGTGGGCAACACACTGATCTCCAAATTGCTGCTGATGGTCAGGCCAGAGCCTCAGTTCCATTTGGTAGTAGAAGTTATACTCCAATGCAATATGTACACACGGTTGGTGTTTGGATAATAGTTTATCTGTGGGTAAAGTCAAGCGGTAAAAAGCAGAATAATATCAGAAAAATGTACAATAAAAGGCCAGGTGTCAAATGTCAATTCTAAGTTTTTTTTAATATATATTTAATTACAAATACAGTTCTACATAAAACACCCAGATATTATAAAATGTGGATTTTACATACGTCCCCATGCACAGAAAAACACAAATTACATTTATCATTTTCAATTTTTGATACCTACACAATTTATCATGTACTTTATCCTCCACTCTCCAGACTGAATGAACAGATGATACTAAAACCAAAAGGTTACTGAAAAGTCAGACTCCGTTGAATAAATTGGTAAAATAAAAGTAAAGAATAAGAAACAATGTTAAACTACAGCATGTTTCTCCTGCAAATGATAATCAAATTCACATTTTCTTTATTCATTCAGTTTAAATTCTTTTTTTTTTTTTTAAACACAGTTTGCACGTGACTAAACTACTTTGCTATTATATTGCACACAGGATCTGATTCCATAGAGCGAAATCAATGCAGCCACAGGACTGCATGATGGCTCTGTTGTACAGCCTCTAGTACCACTGCTGCACCAACGGACACACAGTCACACAAGTCAGGCTGCACTGACATGTTGCCTCTGTTTCAGACGACAAACAAACAAAATCAGTGCACGAGCATTATGACGCAGAGCCTGGTGTGCTCCAGTCAACTGTTTTCTGTGTAGAAGCTGTAAAAGGATACGCTGATTTCCTGTCACACATGGAGATGTGGCAACTGAAGGCAGAGGTCTATTGTAATGACTTTAGAGCGAGAGACAGAAATTATGAAAGACAGAGAGAGAGAACAAGCGGTAATAGAGATGAAAGGATGCACAAGGTTTCAGTTTCATGGGGACATTAGAGACATATTTCCAATTTCATGTACATGGTTCAATAATTCCCTTTTTGTGTGTGTGTGTGTGTGTGTGTGTGTTAATGTCGGCACTCTTGTAGCTCACTGTAAGATCATTGTGCCTTGGATGAAGAGGTTTCATCCATGCAGGTTTGGATCAATCAAAGTCTTCTTCAGAGAGTCTTCGAGGCTTTAAGATTCAGTTTCCTTTCAGGCACTTTTTTAAAGGTCGCTACAGTTAAGTTGCAAATATACAATATAGCGTTATAGTATCATAGAACTGTGGACCTGCACTAGAACTAGAACCATCCTCCGGTTTTACTTGGAGCTCAGCAGCTTGAGCACAACTAACTAGTTTCACCTGTCAACTCGAAGGGAAAGTTCAGGGAAGTGTTTGCGTCACTGGAGTGTGTGTGTGTGTGTGTGTGTGTGTGTGTGTGTGTGTGTGTGTGTGTGTTTACGCACGTCAGGTGAGGGTGTGTATGGAGGCAGGTCTGGGCAGTTGGGTGGGGTCAGGATGGAAAGCCAAGAGAGGAAAATCACAGAGGACAGAGAGAGAGATCAAGAGTGTGTGAGAGCATGTTGCCTGAAAAAAGGACTTTTGTGTGTGTTTAATTGTTGTATGCGTTTGATATGAAGTGTGTATTTGATTGAGGGAGAAAGAGGGAGCGATGCAGAGACCCAGCAGCTGTCATGTAAGTGTATGTGTGTGTTGTATGGTGCGTGGTGGTTGTGCTGACTCTACATCCTGTCAGGTTGTTACCGGATCGTTCTGTCCTTTTCAGCTTTGCAAACTTTCTGGGCTCGCTGTCTGGATTTTACTGCCTGATCAATCACTCAATCATCTGTCATGTGTCTGAATAAGATTGAACTAGTCATTCTCCTGTGTTTTGGGTTATTTTCAATCTATTTGGTTTTAAGTGTATATTGTGTGTTGTTGATTGCACAGATTGTTCCTTTGAGGCAAATTATTAATTTTGGGCGGTAAGGTAAAACTTTAAAAGAAAAGGTCTGATGGCTTCTTCATGTCATGTTATATAAGCTGAGTTGGGCCTCATCACATATTTTTAAACTGCTGCTATGATTTGATACTGTTTACTTTTGCTTTTGAATTGTAGCACATTGGCTTTTCTCTTCTACTTTAATTTGTGTTTAAAATTAAACTTTTATTATTATTATTATTACTGGAAGTAGTAGTAGTTGTAGTGGCAGCAAAAGTATCAATACCAATAAATACATTTACATAGGTTATAGTGCTGAAAGAAAATACAGAAAATAATTAGCTTCAGCCTTAGCTTTGGCTTTAGCTTTGTGACTGAGGTCTGAGTGAAGAGTTGTTTAGTTTAGTTGTTGCTGCTAGACCAGAGATTCCTAACCTGGAGGTTGTAAATAGTAAGCGTATGGGAAACTTTCAGCATTAGCTATCATCAAAGCTGTGGATGGATGAATGAAGACACTGACATCTGTTTCTGTGTGTTTGTAGAAGTCAGACCCTTTTATTCGGCTCTGTTTTTGTATACTCTTTTATCGCAGTTCTCCAGAGATCAGTTCATCGTGGACTGCCCCTCAGAGAAACTCCGCAGGGAGCTGGAGGAAGAACTAAAGCTGAACTGTGAGGAGCCGAGAAGCCACGCGTGGTACCACGGAGCGATTCCCAGACAGGTAACACACACACACACACACACACACACACACACACACACACACACACA